CAGCAGCAGCAGCAGTAGTAGTAGTAGTAGTAGCAGCAATAGTAGTAGTAGCAGCAGCAGCAGGAGTAGTAGTAGTAGTAGTAGTAGTAGTAGCAGCAGGAGTAGTAGTAGTAGTAGTAGTAGTAGTAGGCAGCAGCAGGAGGAGGTGGAATAGCAGTAGCAGCAGTAGCAGTAAGAGCAATGTGTGTGCTAGCACAGGTACCAGCATTCGGGAAAGATGGTAGTGCTCGGAGCACAGCACGCACACTAAAATCAATGTCAGTGTCTCGTCAGATTCCAGTCTACTGCTTGACTTCCACCCCAATCCTCGCGCCTTGCCGCGGGCGATGTCGATGATGAGATGGCCAAGGGACTCCTCGTCTTTTGAGAACTTGTATGTTGCCTGCCCATGCCTGAGCCGGGAGGGTGAGCAAAACGATTACTAGCCTAAACCCAAACCCGAAACACCACCCTCAACAAGCAGCCCCTGACTCACTAAAGCTTTTTTCAGCACGGACTTTGGGCGCGCGCCTTAAACTCTAAACCCTAGACCCCTAAACCCTAAACCCCACACCCTAAACCCTACCCCACCTTTTCAAAAACAAAAAAAGCACGGGGAAGCCCCGGAGACCCCGCGAGCCTCTGGGACTTCACCGGCGTCCGGTCTGACGCATCCAGTAAAGAAGAGACAAACTGCTGAGCCTCCTCCTCCTGGGAGCTTTGGGGGCTTAGGGTTTATGGTTTCACAACTCCCTAAACCCTAAACCCTGGGAGTTTTGGGGGTTTAGGGTTTCCGGGTTAGGGGTTTAGGGTTTAGGGCTCCTCCTCCTGGGAGTTTTGCTGGTTTAGGGTTTCCGGGTTAGGGGTTTAGGGTTTAGGGCTCCTCCTCCTGGGAGTTTTGGGGGTTTAGGGTTTCCGGGTTAGGGGTTTAGGGTTTAGGGCTCCTCCTCCCGGGAGTTTTGGGGGTTTAGGGTTTACGCTCTCCCAACTCGGACAAGCCAGGCGAGGATCCATAGTCAGACGTCGGTGCAACACAGGACGCAGACACTTCCACTGGGGTTTAGGATTTAGGGTTTAGGGTTTCCGGGTTAGGGGTTTCGCGTGAGGGGTTAGGGCTTATGGGGTTTAGGGTTAGGGCTTCGGGCGCAGGAGCGGCAGAGGTGCAAACGGTGATGGTGGCAGTGATGACGATGATCGAAACCGTACTTCACTCATGTAGGCGCCTGAACAATTAGAATAGGGTTTTGGGGTATACTATACCGTAGTTTAAAAAGGAGCCCCCAAAATATTATAAGTTATTATTAAGGCTCCTATATTATGGTGTTAGACTACGTTCTCAAACTTCCTCACTTGCAAACTGCTTGAATGTTCACAGAGAGCGACCGGCAGTGTTGCGCAGTGAGCTGCTGGAAGGGGCCCTTTCGGAAATGAGTGATGTAGAACATTCATGAGTAGTTCACCTCATTTCCTTCAGGGCCTTGCAAGTTTGCAAGTATTAGGATCCCTTTATAGGCGCTACACTCCTTCTCGTTTTTGTACCCTAAACCCTTCTTTACACAGGCTTGAGTGGAGCTCGCCCGGCCAATGAACCCTAAACCCTAAACCCCGAACCCTACACTCCTTCTCATAGGAGGGATGGTCTGCATTAACACCCTGAAGTCACGGTCCTTCGACTCCTCGCTGTCAACACCTGAGCCGGAGGGCAGAAACACTGTGACGTTGAAAGAGGTTTAGGGTTTGGGGGTTTCCGAAAATGGGGACCCTAATATAGTACCCTAAATAGTAGGATCCCTATTATAAGGACCCCCAAAATAAGGTACCCCTACTTTTCGGAAACTCCCACTTAGGGTTTAGGGAGCATCACCAGAAAGCCATACACTCCCGCCCCCGCCACTCTGAAGGAACTTCCGGAGAAGCGCTCATCGGAAGCCGCCTAAAACTTCAGTAGACCCCTTTCTTTTTTTGAACCCAGACTCTGGCCAATCAGCTTCAGTAGACCCTAAACCCTAAACCCTAAACCCTAAACCCTAAACCTAAACTGCAAAGATTGATCGTAACTCCTGGATGCTACAGGGCCCAAGGCCCAGGCGCCTGAAGCTCTTGTGCTTTGGGGGCTCTGAAATGCGAGGCTGGGGTTGCTGCTGCATGAAGGGTTTAGGGGTTTCGACTCTCACACTCGCACAAGGCCGGCAAGGCTCCGCATAGTTCGGTCTCCACAACAACAGACTACTCACCAGGGCTGAACATAAGCAGGAGTTGCAGTAGTCAATAAATTAGGGCAAGATAAGACAAAGTGGCACGCAAGCAACAGCGTATGAGACAACACCCACACACAGCAAGGGTTTGGGGGTTTAGGGTTTGGGGTTTAAGGGTTTAGGGTTTAGGGGTCTAGGGTTTAGGGTTTAGGAGTTTTGGGGTTTAGGGGTTAGGGGTTTAGGGTTTAGGGTTTAGGGGTTTAGGGTTTGGGGTTTAGGGTTTAGGGGTTTAGGGTTTAGGGGTTTAGGGGTTTAGGGTTGTTGAGGCATTGAGCTCAAGAAGCTCAGAAGAGGTGACATCTTGCCTTGGTTCCAGGAACTTCTCCGATGAACACTACATACGGCTGATGGACAAAATCCTGCATGACCTTATATACCTAAACTATGGGATTTATGGTACTATACTATATTTGGGGCATGCAGGATTTTGTCCATCAACAGTACTTTCAGCAGCAAACAAGGTTGTTGATGTTGTCCTGGCTCGAAGAGGAGACAGGTGAAGCAGCTGCGAATGGCGACATGATTGTTCTGCTATCCTAGCTTGGAATAGCTTGTCCGGCGATATAGGCTTGTATCAACCATCCAAGCATGAGGGATCTGAAGCCTGAGTGGCAGGGCATAGTTTCCTGCAAGCCAGGTGGCTCAGCATGTATCCTTGGCCCCACTCGTTCTTCAGGGCCTGCACCTGGAGAGGGTTTAGAAGTTTAGGGTTTATCATTCAAGTCTGCGGGCGCAGAAATGCAGCTATAACCTACACAGGTAGCACATTAGACAGGTTCCCTGGCAATTTCAAGCAGAGTTTTGTGGGGTATATTGCACGTACGGTTACTATATATTGAGGAACTCTGAGGAGCCCTCAATATAAGGGTCTTAAATATTAGAATAAGGTTTTTTGGGGCCCATTATACTATAATTATAGTAATTATAGTAAGGAACGCTCAAAATCGGATTGGTAATCATTTAGGCCCCTACATTATTCCTTTTATCCTGTCTCTTATGTTGCTGACGACAAGCAGGTCTATGAAAATCACTGGTGCCTTGAACCCTGCAGCAACGGGATGTTTTCGCTCCCGCATGGCTATAGTGTCTATGCCTCCCAGCAATGGGATGAAGTGCGAGGGCTTACTTCTGCGTGCGGGATGAGGTGCCGTAGCCTTGGGTTCCTCACTGCCTGACATAGGAGCCTTAGTGATTAGACTAGGGTTTGGGTATGTTTGGCTATAGCTATATATATATATATGTACATATGTATATGGGCTATGATGAAGGGACATAGTTGCTAGTAGTTTGGTTATTCCGACTTCTATGTTATCTCGTGCCCCAAAATTGTCGCCTTGAGGTAATGTAGCAATCTGATTTAGGAACGTTGGGTCTTTTAGGCGTCTTTGTACCGGAACTTACTCTTATGGCAGGGGTTATAGGACCCATATCCCCTGAACATTTTTTGGTAGAGACTTGTACATGCCCGCGTGGTTCCAGAGCTGCGGGACTCAGGGCAGAAAACCTAAACATCTTTTTGTTAAGAGGACCCTTTTTTACAACTGGACTTGATGAATGCCAGCACCCCTAAACTGAATCACTAAACCCTAAACCCAGACTGATGGCAGGCGAGATACGGAGCCCTCGGCAGCCACCACGCCTCTGCGAAGAATGACCTCATCTCATCATCTCAGCGATTCTGACTGTTAGTAGTAAAAGATGGCAGGACCTGCAAAGGTGGTGACGAATGTTCAAGAAATATGATACTACTCGGGCTGATAAGAATGATGCTAATTATGAGTCTTAGCAGAACAATCATGAGAAGACTATACTATGCGATGGGACTAAGCTTAAGAATCAGGACAGCAGAGCTGATGCAGCAGGACCATGCATGGTTCCACGAGGTGCGGGCGATGTGGCTCGAGAGATACTCGGCTTCCTCTAACCTGAACTCAGGTGGCGTTTTGGGTCAGGGCTTTTTCTGCCTGCCCCAAGATGCCCTAAAGCCCACCTGTTTTGGATCAGGGTTTAGGGCTCAGGGCCGAGGATGTCAGGGTTTTGTCACTCGCACTCGCGGTAGTTTATGCCATGATGATAATAAGGTACCCCAAGATAGTATTGGTAATTATTTAGACCCCTTTATTATACTGGTGCACTGTTAACGATGATGTAGTGCGCCGGTTCAGGGTGTAAGGCTCCGGGGTTCTAGGTGGGCTTGGGATTTGAGGTTCAGGATTGGCTAGAGCGATGCACGTCATGTGCCCCCATCCCACCGTCCTCGGTTTCCGCTGACCAAACCTGCCCAAGACATTCCTCCCTAAACCCTAAACCCTAAATCCTAAACCTCTTGGAGCGTAGACCTAGCCTCGATCAACCTCACGAGTTCTCCTTCTTCTCAAGCCTTAAACCCTCAGAAGAGCCGCCTTCAACACCTGCCTCTATCCTGACAAGAGGCAACCGTGAACTCTCACAAGAGCAGGCTCAAGTGCCAGCAGGAGGAATGTACACAACTTACATATACGCATATATTTATATATACGCATGCAGGCATACATACATACATGCATGCATACATACATAAACACACACACACATACAAATACACACCTGCACATTCACATGCGCATATACATATACATAATGTGTACACATATACATATATACGAATGAACAAAACTTCGCAGGAGTAAAAAGGGCTCAGGGGTGTATTAGTGTAGAGCCAGAAAGAAAATATCGAGGAAAGTATTGAGTACAACGACCGAACTGGGGCTGAGTTCATTGCCCTGCTGAGCGCTAAAGCTGTCCCCAGAACCCAAAATCCTGAACCTCAAAGCCCTAGACCAGAAGACCCCGGACCCCAGTTAGGCTGAGCCAGCTGCATGTGCGTCGTAAGCAGGCAGCAGCCACCAGCCTGCTTCACCTGCCCACCCAAGATCCCTGTACTAATATGATAGTACAGTTTGTTGATATTTCGTGGGTGGCATACTATAATATGTTAAAAAGTCATACCAACATGCTAACAAAATATGGAATCTAGTGCGGAAAAAACGAAACATGACAAACACATACATGCTTGATGTAGTGCGCCACGCCAGTCTTCAACTAACATGCACAGCTGCGACAATCCCTGCTCTTTGTTTATGGCTTGCGGCATTAGAGTCCTGTGGCACGCGTTGTCTTATGCTTCAGGATGAATTCGGGCCGGAGGTTCGTGCACAGTGTACACAATTCCCTGGACAAGGCAAGGCATTCGGTTGGTATACTGGCGTCAAACCTGCAGCGGCTGGCAGTCGGAGGCGGTATTGGCTCATTTAGGGTTTAGGGTTTACGGGTTTAGGGTTTAGGGGTTTAGGGTTTAGGGGGGCTACACCAAAGCACATCTTCTTTTCGAGGCTGGGCGTGGTGTCTTTCTTCGAGAGCACGCGCTCTCCTGGCAGAGAAGGGAGGCGGAGATTCACAGAGTAGAGCTGCGACAGCAAGAGAAAAAATGGGGCATGGGTCAAGTTTTCTCCTTGCTCCTATTTGTGTTCATATTCTCCTTATTGAATCCTTTAAGTGATGATTGCTAGTAAGCCCGAGAAGATAATAAGCACTCGTGAGGACAGCCCAGCAAGATTTTGACCCATGCCCCTCAAGCACAAGAGGTGGCCAGTTTCAGCCACCAAACCGAGTTATAATCTCACAACGGGGATGTGCAGAAACTGCAATGGTTCTCATATGATGGTAGTAGAGGAGCCTGAATAACTAGTTGCTCCCTAGGGATGCGTGATATAGCTATGCCATCATGTAAGTCAAAACCCTATTAGAGTCAACAAGTTTCTGTCTTGACTTATGTTCGGTGCCTTAATTGAAACCCACCAAACTCAGGGCATTCAGCCGTCCAAGGGCAGCTCACCGCAATCCGTGATCCGGATCTTTTGTGGTCGAGCTTCGAAGTCCTCCTGCGAAGGGCCGAAATTGAGGGGTTGAGATGGGAGTTAGGATTAGGGGGACCCTTGCAGATATAGACCCTCTCAATGGGGTCCCGCTTAAGAGAGCCATAAGTAGGGTTAAGAAGGGTCCCCTTTAAGGGGTCTCCGTTCTACTACCAAAGAGGAGATAAAGGACTGAATCTTCCCAGATTCAGGGCTTAGAAAATGAGGGCTCAAGACTTGGAGGAACCCTAAGGAGTAGTATTTGTAAGTACTTTAGGCGTCCACATTACACTCAATCTGGCATCCTTGGGCCTGCAGCATCATGTTGTTTTTCAAGGCTTTGGGAACACAGGAGAAGAAGAAGGCACGGCGAGAAGCGTCCTCCATCTCATCGATGATCTCCATGCCCGAAAGGATCTCGCCGAAGCAACCTGGGTTGCTGTTGAGGAACTTAAGTTAAGTTCCTAGAACAAGGAAACCCCATTATTAGCTATACATCCCCAGTATGGGCCACTGAAATGAAGCTCCTTGACCGCAACCCAGCAACCCTAAACCCTAGAATCCCTTTTTGAGTCACGGGCTGGGGCCGGACCCTAGAATCCCTACAACCCTAAACCCCTAAACCCCCTAAACCCTAAACCCTGCAACCCAGCAACACCACCTCTTGTCCATGGCTGGGAACTCCTTCGGCTGTCGACTTTTTGGTTCTCTGCGCTCAGGCTTTATCGCTTCCGGGTCTAGGAATATCAAGCTGCTAATGTAGGGGCCTTGATCATTAGAAGAGGGTTTTGGGGCCCATTATACAAACCCTAAACCCTAAACCCTAAACCCTAAACCCTAAATAAGCATAATCAGGAACCCCCACAATAGTATAGGTAATTCAAGCTTTCGGGCCCTATGACTCTCAGGCCGGAGCATGAATCAGCTCTTCTCGAGCCCATGCTACATTTAAGCCTACGGCTTCGGGGCTTGGCTCGGATTTATCTAAACCCTAAACCCGTCTCGATCTGTTCGTGCATTCTGTAGCAAATGCATGCGGCAGACGTGAAGAGGGCTTTTCAAAACCGATCGCATCCCACGTCCTTCAGCGTGATGAAGAACACGGATCCCTGCACATCCTCGCGCCAGGCTCTCGTGCGCGAGTTTCCCATGGACTCGTCCAGTACGTGTGTGTATATATATATATTATGTGTATATATGTACATGTATATGTATTTGTACATGTATGTGTGAGTGTACATGTATCTGTCGTACATGTATATGTGATTGTACATGTATATGTATACGTACATGTATATGTATATGTAATTGTACATGTCTCACACCTACGTATCTAATTGTCTGCTTATTTGTTGACCTCTTTATCTAAATAAAGCAGTGTGTAGGTTGGTGGTTCTTTGTATACAGAGAGAGAGAGAGAGAGACTTTGAATCATAACTAATTGATAGTTTTCAGGTATGTCCCTTGTTCGAGGGGTTCGGGCACAGTGCAACGAGCTGGCCCATCAGGCATTGCAGAGGCCCCGATGTACAGACACCATTTCGGAGTACACTTGGAGTCACATTGGGTTTACGGAGTAGGTCTTAGGGTTTAGCGATTAGGGTTTAGGCCGTTGTACAAGGGCTCCGATTTTTTCCATTCGTTTCAGGGTTGGTCGCGAATTGGATTTACGATTGAGGGGGTTCGGGGCTTACGAAACAGTAGGCCGCACAGTCTAGGGGAGTGTTAGTAGTTAGACTCATGTTTGGGGATATCCTGTATACTAAGGAGTATCCATACTAACGATTAAGCCACCTACATTACATTACGAGACTCTAATGGGTGTTTCCGAAAATAGGGGACTCTGATATAGTACCCTAAATAGTAGGATCCTTATTATGAGGACCCCAAAATAAGGTACCCTAATTTTCGGAAACTCCCTAATCGAGCTTGGGGGGGGTAACGGGACTCGAGAAGGAGTCGGAGTTTCACTCGCCTTTTTGACTCTATCTCGAAAACACCCGCGTATGGTAACATCAAACCCTAACCAGGCCCTGAACCCTAAACGCCTGAACCCTCAACCCGGGAGCAAAGACATCTTTTGGCTTGGGTTTAGGGTGCCGGCTCTGCGGTTGTGCATTGAAGGCTTGCTGGATTCATTGCCCGGGCTTCAAAGATTCTGCTGGGCTGGCTGAGCAGAAGGGGGAATAACTTGGTTGCAGCTTCACAGGAGCTTGTATGTCCCCAAAAGAAAAGCGGGATCAGCCCCAGCTACAAACCCTGTGAAGGGCTTGCTAAAGCCCTCTACTCTAAAAACAAAACCCTGCAAGACCGGAAAAAACCCTAAAATACCCTTTTGCCACTGGCTTCCTAAACCCTGTAATACCCTAAACACTTTTTTTCACAAGGGACTCGTCTGCTGCCCTTACCCTAAACACTACTCCGTGTATTTTCTAAATTTCTGGGCCGAACCCCCCTGCTTGCAGGGCCTTCCCCTCGTCTCGGTCCATGGCCAACATCCCCCGTTTCATGGCCGGGACCTTGTAGCTCTCGCCCTGGCGCCAGAAGGTTTCGCGTTTAGGGTTTAGGGTTT